TTCCAAAAGCTGGTAGTATCTGTGTGACAGCTCAAACGAATTCGTAATCGAACGACGATGACCACGATGATGTGAACACGCAGAACACACGACTCAAATGGCCTCACCGCTTATCATCTTCATATTCAAGAAAAGGCGAATCAATACTAGTGAGAAGTTTGTGCGCAAGAACCAATCCCCAACTATTATATTAACGTGGTATTTAAGTTTTGTGTGTTCGTGTGAGAGAGGATGAGATAGATGTGTCTGTGTGCTTAGTCTATCAAATGATTAATCCACTTGATGCAAAAATCCAACACTTCGGATATTTCCTCCAGCAAATTCCAAATTCAAGCATCCCTCACCTGTCTCGCCTGCTTGCCCTTCATCACAATGATTCTTTCGAGAACCACATTACTGTCAAAACATAAAAAGAAACCGTCTTATCCAAAGCGCCCACAATGCCGCTCCAAGTTTCCGAGGAGATGAGTATTTGATCTTGTTTTTTTTTCCGGGGATGTACAAAAAGTGAATGTCTCGTCCAGTATATCGAGATGAGTTCATCAGCTACCGTCGAATGCGTTTGTTTCCCTCCGTGAGTAGGGAAATCGTTCATGGATATCCAAGGGTCCAAAGAAAATATTATGCTCCTCGAGAAAAGTTCTTGAGCCATGACTCAATTCAGTGATGCTGATGCCCAAGATCCTGTTCTATCGAAATGCCGTGTTCCAGTACTCATGAACAAATGTCGAAAAATACCATTTGGTCCTTAGGTAATCAGGGCTCCAATCTCGGATCCGAAAGCCTTCTTATTGCGCCAGCTGCTCTTTTTCTGCTCACGCTTCGCCTTCATGGCCGCCCAGCCCTCCTCGTCATCGTCATCATCTGGGTTAGCAAGCGGCGACGTCTTCACCTCGGCCTGGAATTTTGAGAGGGTCGGCAGTGCGCCGGACATGGTGTTGGACCTTGAGCCGGTACCGTCCAATGGGTTGATGCTTGACACTGGTCGGTAGCGTCCGGGAAGGCCAATGTTACTACGCTCAGAAGGTGCAATAGATGGTGCATAACCGCCGCCCTGGACACGGATGGAGGGTGCGCCAAAGCTACCTTGTAGAGGTTGAATCCATGAGGAGGAACTTGGCTGTACCATGCTCATAGTCCGCGTCTGGCCAGCTGGTCTGGGGGGCTCGAGATTCATCCCCGAATTCATGCCCATCATCGAGTCACCCATGAACGACTGCCGTACGTCTGTCATGGAGCCAAGATATGACTGGCGCGCATCGGGCACGGAGCTCATGGACTGAGTAGGCATGTGGCTTACGGGACGACTACCGGGGCCAGGCATCTGCATTCCCATGGGCATCTGCAGTTGAGGGACCTGGTTGTTCTGCTGACCGGCCATCATCTGCATGAACTGCATCTGCATCTGCATAAACTGTTGCATTTGCTGCGTCATCTGAATTTGGGCTTGATCACCAGGCGTCAACATTGGCTGCTGCGGGAACATCATTTGCGGTGGGATTTGGGCCATGGGATCAAACCCGTTCATCGGCATCTGCATTTGGGGCGGCAAGCCGTTCTTCATGTGGTCAATTGCTGGGCTGCCACGACGCAACGCCTTTGCCCTCTCCTCGTTGGCGATGACTCCCACAAGACCACCGGTGGGCATGGGCATGGAACGTCCCTGTGACGCCGGAACGCCTCCTGCAAGAGCAAACGACTCGCGCGGGGGTTGGTTGATCAAGCCGGCACCCAGGAACGGATCCTGAGGAAGCTTTCTCGCGAAAGCTGGCACCTGTCCACCAAGGTTCTTTGCTGCACCGCCGCTGACGGAACCAGGACCTGCAACGTATGATGGCTGGTTGAGTCCGCGCAAGTCCGGAATGGAGGCCATATTGCTGAGCCTGGTCGGGGGCCGAGCCTTGTTAGGAAAGCCGTGTGCAGCAAGAATTGCTAGCGGCACTTCCTCGTCCGAGGAGCCATCTGATGGCGGCGACTGAGAGCCACCGAGTACATGACTTTCATCGACCAGAAGATTGGGAGCGCTCATGGACGTGCCCAGGCCAGGCCTCGATGCCATGCCGCTTGATTGCTCCCCTGTTACTTTCATCATTGTCTGTCGATAGACGGTCATGTGGGCTTCCTGCTTGCGTCGCTGCTTCGCCAATTCAATGTTCTTCTGTCGATCATCCTCATCATCCTCGTAATCTTCCTCGTCCTCGTTCTCTGAGTCATCCTTGTCGAGACTGCTTCGGCTTTGTCGGACCTTATCCTGGCGATACTTTTCGAACTCGGCCGGGGTCATGACCTTGTTTTGAGCGGCGCCGTTTGCTCGGTTCGTGGGACGCCCGGCATTTCTTGTGCGCGAGTAAGATGTGTCGAACATGTTATCCTCGTCCGGCTGCGAGTTATACCTCGATGGTCTTGCATACGTCTCTTTAAGGCTGGAAATGGTGTCGCCGTTCCCGTGATACGAATCGTCTTCATTGGCCAGAAATTTGGTTGCAGCACGAGAATCCTTCAAGAGTATTGCGTCTTCATCTTCTTCCGGCGTCTTTCTTCGCAGGACAGGGCTCTCTGCATGCCTGGGAACAGGTGGTGGAGATGCCAATGCGCTACGAGCACCAAGGAGCCCCTCATCAGAGCGTTGGCTAGCCCATGACTTGGGCGGCGGCTCGATCGCAGTTGAATGGTCCAGACTGAGCGCAGCAGGCTGACTAGCACGGTTGCCAGTAAGATCACGGGAGGCCAGTGCCGGCTGACCAGAATCACGCCTCAAAGTCATCACACTGGACCTCTTACCGAACGCCGAGAGCATATTGCTAAGGTCACCACCCAAATCCAGCTTGAAGTCCCTGTCTTCCACCTGTAGCGGAGTTCTCTCCGTCACAGTGGAAGCAGTCGGGGCTCGGGGACGACCTCCCGGTGTCTGAGGCTCGAAGTGGTCGGGTACTGGCGGGACAGGTTCATCTGGTACGGTGTGGTTCTTCTTGGACATGCCAAAAGAGAAAGTACGACCAGCATTTTTCAAGAAACCACTGCCTGATGATCTCGGAGGGGCTGGTAGGGGCGCATCGTATGCCGGTTTCCTTGCCGAATTTCGAAAATCTTCCGTTGTAGCATAATCAGTGGACGACGGTGCCGTCGACACATTGCTATGACGTGATGAGTTGTCCGAGGTTGTCTTCGTCGTGTTAGAACTGCCACTGCCACTGGATTTGATTAGCGTCTTTCAACAACCCGTGCAACGTGAGGTCTACAATGAGACCAATCGGACGAAGCATTCTCGTACGCGGGACAACATACCGGTTATTCTTAGCATCGGCAAAGATATTGTCGTCCATCGATACATCGTGAAGGGTTGTCCTCGGCATCGGTCCGCCAGCCTTGGTCATCCTCATTCCCCCGTCAAACGACTTCCCCGGAGCCGCGTCACTCCGTTCAAGGACTCGAAAGGACGGTTCTACCGGAGCATTTTGATCTTCTGTCACGGTTGATCTCCGTCGGAAGTTGACCGGGAATCTAGGCATATAGAATGATTTGACTGTCGCCGACTGAATTATTGCAATCCCATAAAATCAGATCGGTGTGTTAGGACTGACAGTGAAGTCGTCCTGTTCGAGTGGATGAAGAATTGTGTGTGATACCAACTCGAGGTTTATTGTCGGGTATCGTACTGTGGAAAGGCTTGGTCAAGGCTTCCAGATATCATGCGAAACCACGGACACCTGCATAAGGCAAGAGAGCACAAAGTTAGCAATGTTCATACCATCAAGTAGCGAATTCCCGCGCAGCTCCGAATCTCTGCAGTAGCATGTGCAACCTTTGGGCATACAGTCGTGATGTCTGTCAAGGACAGAAGACCACGCTGACCCTGCATGCTGACCGACCGTATCGGTTTGGATGCGCAAGCGTGGCGAAGGAGTCCAGTCATGTTATTGCCTGGCGATCGACCGACGCCAGTAGCTCGCAATGCCATAAAAACCACGACAGAAGGCGAGACAAGAGCCGATTCGGGCGGGCGATGGAGATGACGTTCCGTACTATTTGCCAGGAGAGTTGAATGTGACTTACACGATATCCTGGGTGTAGTGTGGGTAGACCCAAAGTGCCGACCACTAGAACAAATCGACGACGTTACCCGTATGCCTAGGAGGAGACAAAGTCGCTACAGCGAAGACTTTTGTCGTAGGCAGAACTCGCGATCGAAGTTCTTGAAAATACGAGGTGGACAAGCCAGGGAGGATTGAGTCCAGGTGGTACCGGCGAACAGCGGTTGGTAGGTACTGTAGAGGGAGTACAAACGAAGGGCAGCTCAGAGCTTAAGCAGAGTAGTCGTGCCGTCAGTGTCGTAAAAGGACGAGCGAGAGAGTAAATGAGTCGGAAGAAGCTCGAGCGATGAAACACATGCAATGCAGAAGTAAGTTAAACAAACCAATGACAGCAGCAAAAAGGAAATATGATGGGCCAAGACTAAGGCTGTGAGTGTTTTGCTTTTTTCTCTCTCTTTTCCTCTGGCTGGCTGGTGTACAGTATGTAGTGGTATGTATGTAGGCGCAGCAGATCTTTTCGAGAGGCAGGGAAAGGAGCAAGCGAGCGAAAGGAGGAGGAGGAGGAGTGACAAGATCAGAAAGAGGCTCGATGACGGCAATTGATGCAAGGACGGATCGGATGTTAATTTTCTTTCGTTCGTTTTCTCGGTCTGTCTGTCTGTCTTTTTTTTTTCCTCACAAGTCCGTCTCTTTCGTTCCCAGTCCCCCCGTTCGTTCGTTTCCTTCCCCCAGCAGGGCAGGTCCAGGAAGGCAGGCAGCCAAGAAGCGAGCGAGCGAGCAAGCGCAGCACGTTCGGTAACAGCAAGGTGCGCGGTCAGGTTCAGGTGCGATGGTCAGCCTCCGTGCCAATCCAATCGAAGAGCCCGCGCGACAGACCTACCGCTAGTGTAGTAGGTACAAGCTACCACAAAACCCTTACACGCTACAGCCTACAGGCTTCCTAGTCTATTTTTATTAGGTGGAGGGGCCTAGGATAGCCGTGGCACTAGTACCTGTTCCGGGCAGCCTCTAGGCCGTTGCTGATGACCCTTGCCCCTGTGCGAGAATGCACATAGTGTACTAGCTACTTCGTACTGGCCTAGGATGGGAAAAAGCCTCCGTCTCTCTCTTCTTTCGCCGCTGCCGCCAGGCCAACCCAAGTGGGCTGCCATTGATCTCGAGGGGGGGTCTCTTGTCTCAAAAAGCTCGTAAAAGACAGACCACGCTTGTCTGCGGCACCTACATGACATGACATACATACACAGTACATACAGCTAATCGCATAGGTAGCTGCTGGTCGCCTACATGAATTGAATGACATGACATGACATGTCTACTCACTAATACAAGGTATGTAGGAAGGCGACATCGTAGTCCAAGCGGACTCGATGCTTGTCTCGTCTCGTCTCGTCTCGTCCTGTCTCGATCCGACACAGAAGAGAGGGCAAAAGGTACCTTTCTACACGACGAAGCACAATCCCACCGCTGGCTGGATGTTACCTGATCAATGGATGTGGATGGTATGGGCGAGGTGGGAGGTATCCCGTCCAAAGCTGGTTGGCCAACTGGCTGGCGTTGCCTGGTGTGGCCGGTTTGTAATGGCGGGATTCGCACCGCAGAACAACCCGGGCCAGGCACAATTACCGGGGCGAATGCAGGTGTCTGTGATCGCACCACAGCAACTACTGTGTAGAGGACGAAGAAAAAAATAATAATGGCCCAGGGGGTATGGAAATTATGGAAATTGGGGTGGCATTGGGCTCCTAGAAGTGGCGCCGACACGGGTTCAATTCGGCCAAGCTGGTGCTGGTCGTGGTAGCACAACCTTGATCTCCAACCACTCGGCAATGCGCTAGGCTGTGCACTCATTCTTTTCTGCATGATTAGCAAAGGTCGCCAAGCATATCGAAAAGACCAAAAAGTCATCCAGGCGCGCAAACTTGGCGGCTGAACCGGTACGTAGTTCGTACATACAACAGGTCAGGGACTTCACCAAAGACAATTGCGTTGCTGAGAAAGGCTCATTGGCATATCTTATCGCGTCGATAGCTACTCCAAGGTAGACGATCGAAGGCGACTCTAGTCAGTCGCCGCTTGGAGGATTGCGGCTCACCTAGCCATCTATCCTGGAGGGACATCGTTATACCTGCTGGCGGCGTTGCCGTGACCAACTAACGGATAGGTTGGCTGGGTCATTCTTCGCCGACAAGCTTTATTTCCATCTCATCCGCTTCTCTGCCCAGCCTGCCTCCAACAGCTCGCTAATAACCGTCCCACCAAACGCGCTCTACGAGCTACGTACGATATATACTGTAGTCTATCGTGCAGTTGGCGCTTGTCAAGCTTGACGGAAAAAATCATACTAACAAACTGATTTGTGTGGGAAATTGATGGGGACTTAGTGTATTCAGTACAAATAAACGGATCTGGCTATATGGGTTTAGTTAAATAAAGTGCACAAAACCTAATTGCCTCCTACAGCCCACCGGAAATAGCCGTTAAGCCGGAGGTCCCGGGGTCTAATGCTTTTATCCGTTAAAACGAGAATTATACCTATTATTTTAGTTAAAGTCAACTTTTTATACGCCTTTTATAACGAGCGATTTAATCGAAATAAAAAAATAAGCCTTATTGCGATAATTTATAATATAATTTATAATTAAATAATAATAATTATACCTATAATTAGGTTATAATCTATTATACCCAGCAAATATACGAAATGCTTAAAGTCTTTAGGTTATATCGCTTTTATAAGCTTATTAGCGGCGTTTTCCGTAAATATAATTTTTTTAATTAAAATATTCCTAATAAAAACTTTTTATTAAATATAATAAAAATATTTTTTAACGTGCTTTTTCGTAAATATGCTAATTTAGGCCTTTGCCTACGCTTTTGCGCCTATATTATTAATTAATAAAAAAATCGCTTTTTAAGGTATTATTTTTAGTTTTTTTAATAAGTTCCTAATAAATGCGGCTTTACGAGCGCTTTTATTAATAGCGTAATATTTAGTTTTTATAATAAATTAAGCAATTACGCTTTATAGCTTTAAATTTTAATTTATTAAAAAGCTTATTATAAACGTTACCTATTTAAATATAAATTTAAAGGTTAATTTATCGCTTATAAAATTAGCGTTAACGTAAATATATAATCCTAATTCCTTATATTTAGTATAACGATAAAATCGGGTATATTTTATCCCTTTTATACGAGTGCCTTAAAAGTATTATAATACTTTATTTAAGTATTTAATATAATTAAAAGACAGGTTATTTATAAAGCGAATTTATATTTTATTAGCGTATATTATATTTATGCGTAATTTAATTATAGCGTAATTCGTTTTCCCGAGTTTTTTAAAATATTAATTTTTAGATTTTTAATTAATATAACCTTTAAATTTATAAATTATTATTATTAATCCCGGATTAATAAAAATAGCAATACTTTTAATATCCTAGCATCCGAGTTTTTTAAATATTTAATTTAAATATTTATTTTATAATAATATAATACTATTATTTTCTTTTTAAATAATGCGTATTCCTAAATATTATTTAGCGGCATTTAAATATTATAATTTTAATTATTTATTTAGCTATTAAACTAATTTTTCGATAGCTTTAATATTCGTATATATAATTATAAAATCGTTTATATAAAAAATTAATACCGTTTTATTAGCCTTATTTTAATAAATAGTATTATCGGTCTTTAATTTTATAAAACCCAGCTTTTTTAATTCCTTTTTAATTTTTTATTATTATTCGAAGCTATTTTGCTTTAAACCGTATAAAAAGCGTAATAGCCTAATTATATTATTAGGAATATAATTATATTATTATATAATATTAAAGTATTAAAATATAAATTTATTTAGGTATAAAAATTAGCGTATATAAATTTTTTTATTAAGCCGGTTTAATAAATAGGCTATAATAAAATCGATTTAAAAGATTTTTTAATTTTTAATTATAGCTATCGCGATTAAAACGCGGATATTTATTTATTTAGCTATATTAATAAAGGTTTTTTTATAATTAATTCCGAAGGTTTAAATAAAGCCCTAAGCTATAAAGCGTGCCTTTTATTTATTTATATTATTAATAAAATTATATTTAATTTTATATATTTATTTAAATTTAATTAATAGCTTTTATTTTAATTTAAAGTTATTATAATCGAGGAATTTAAACGTTTTTTTTTTAAATAGCTTAATAATTTTTTTTGCTATAGCTTATTGCTAATTAGGCTATTTTTATATATTCTTTACCTAATTAATTAATAATAAATCTAGGTTATATTTAATAACTAATATTAGGTATTCGTTTTATACTTATTCGAATAATTTATTATTAATTAATAATAAATAATTATATAAACCTTTATTTAACGCAATTAGCAGCGCGCCTTTAAAGCTCGGATTTTTTTTATTATCTTAATTATAGTTCCGTAAATTAATCAAAGCGTGGTAATTATTTTTTATAGTTATA